GGCTGGGTGATGGTAGAGGCGTGTGGCCGAGGCTGGGTAACATGTACTAAGGCCTCTCGTAATAGTAACTTTCATCACACATAAATAAGCTGGAGGGAGAGAGAGACTTCAACGCGTCAGTAGATAGTAAGCTTATAATCTAAATGTAACAGTAAGTCTCATTAAGCTGTGGGTTCTTCTTCTTTCTTCTCCTTTCTTTTCTCTTCCTTTTTCATTATTTCCTTTTCTTTCTTCTTCTTTCATTCTTTCTTCTTTCTTTTTCTTCCTCTTCTTCTTTTTCTTCCTCTTCTTTTTTGTCTTCTTAATTCTTCAATCTTTCTTCCATCTTTCTTCTTTTTGTTTGTCTTCTTCCTTCTTCCTCCTTCTTCATTCGTTCTTCTTTTTCTTCTTCCTTCTTCTTCTTCTTCTTCTTCTTCCTCACCGTATAAAACCTTGTAAGTGGCCTCAGTTCTCTTCGATACACGAATGAGTTTACTAATAAAAATAAATACAACTTTTAATACAATACTATAAATCACGTTCACAATTAATACAAAAACAAGATTAATTTCTCTCTATCAATGTTGTGGATAAAAAAAAACCCACAAAACGATAATTTGACGTAAAAACAATTATTTAAATATAATGGCGTATATTAAACTCGGTAAATATTCTGCTTTTGTTAAATATTATACTTTTGTTAACTTCAACTTTATAAAATACCAAAATATTAACCCGGGGAAAAAATACCATCGGTAACAAATGCCTGACTTAATGAGTACAGTGACAACAGACTCCTAAATCGATATCAGAAACCGGAATCATCTAACTTAAATAAGCCTTACGATATCAAGATTAATTACTCAATTTTGATACCGTGATGAGCTTAATGATATCTGAAGTGGTAATAGGATGAAATAAAGTGATTTAGTGGTTTAATTAAGACTCGTCACGAGGGGTAGAGTTAATTAGTATAGTAAAGGACAGTCTTTATTTACCTGGTGATTTCAATGCTCAGGTAGGTACGGATCTCAGAGTGTTTGGTGATTTACAACAATTAGAAGAATTTGGTTATTTCAGTGTCTGTCTGTCTGTCTGTCTGTCTGTCTGTCTGTCTGTCTGTCTGTCTGTCTGTCTGTCTGTCTGTCTGTCTGTCTGTCTGTCTGTCTGTCTGTCTGTCTTCTGTCTGTCTGTCTGTCTTCTGTCTGTCTGTCTGTCTGTCTGTCTGTCTTCTGTCTGTCTGTATCTGTCTGTCTGTCTCTCTCTCTGTCTGTCTGTCTTCTGTCTGTCTGTCTGTCTGTCTGTCTGTCTGTGTTTTGAATAAGTGTGAATATAATATGTGCAGATATTTTAGTATGTGTGTATGTGTGTGTGTGTGTGTGTGTGTGTGTGTGTGTGTGTGTGTGTGTGTGTGTGTGTGTGTGTGTGTGCACCATAATAACCCTCGTTGCAACACACCTAATCCACCTGGTCATTATATACACCTGTGACGGTAAATACTGTGGTCAGAGTAATTACCTGCGAGTATTGTTTTAAATGGTTCATACATACATACATACATACATACATACATACATACATACATACATACATACATACATACACCCCCTCCTCTTCCCATCTCCCACATCCTCCTGCTCCTCCTCCTCCTCCTCCTCCCCCTCCTCCTCCTCCTCTTCCTCTTCCTCCTCCCAGCACCCCCACCATCTTAGACTGTCATGTGACTGCCTCATAAGGACTGTTTGAATCGCCTCCAGTCTTAAGGTGGGAGGGGGAGGAGGAGGAGGAGGAGGAGGAGGAAGGGGGAGAGAGAGTGTTGCCATCTTGCCATCCATCATATAACGTCCTGAGATAAACATTAATATTTGTTTTAATATTTTGTAATTTTTAGTTGTTAATGGTGGCAGATGTTGTTGTTGTGTTTGTTAAAGAAGTTGTTTGTGTTTGTTATTTGTAAAGATAAAGTGTTTTGTTTGGCCTCACAGAAACAGTTGTCGATTAGTAAAGGAAATTCCTGAATATTAAATTTCAGTACACATGTGTTTCTTGTGGTCACGTACATACATACATACATACATACATACATACAGGAAGTTCTCGGGTACAGCACACACACATATACACACACACACACACACACACATGTACATATATACGTACATTAGTGTGTGTGTGTGTGTGTGTGTGTGAGAAATATCATCTATCGTAAGTTATATTAGTGAATCAGACAGCGGCTATATACTGCACAAATCTAGGGAGTTAAAACACCATTGTTCATATCCTGAGCGAGATGCCTATGGTGTTAAACTACTACGGTTGTTTACTCCTGAGTGTTAGTCCGTCTCTACACACTAAATTATTATTATTATTATTATTATTATTATTATTATTATTATTATTATTATTATTATTATTATTATTATTGTTATTATTATTATTATTATTATTATTATTATTATTATTATTATTATTATTATTATTATTTTTATTATTATTATTATTATTATTATTATTATTATTATTATTATTATTATTATTATTATTACTTTACGTTCGATAGTGTACTTCTGTTTCCATATTATTGCTTTAACGAATTATATAACGAATAAGACAACGTACAAGCACTCAGCCAATCACATTATATAACTCACAAATCGATACCAAATATGACCAAGTGTTCGGATAATTTTGACCACAATTGAACAGCGTCAGATAACTGTTTAAAATATCATAATCGGGAGTAATATTATAGGAGCTGTTATCTTAATTAATATAGCTTATAATGGCTGCCTCTTCATATTATATCACGCCATAATAACTCTTCATCATCGAGTCTTGGGGTTTTTGTAATGATAATGATAATGATGATGGCGCGTCTCATAACTCAACCCGGGTTTATAGGGACGCCTTCAGGGTTGGATAAAGGAGTTTAGGTTTATTTTTTTTTATTTTATTTTTTTGAGGAGGGGGGGAGAGGTTTAAGTGTTGGATAAGGGTTTAGTTGTTTGTTTGTGATTAGATAAGTGGATAAAGATGGATAAAGTGGTAGATTATCACCCTCCTCACCTCCTCCTTGCCTCTCTCCTCCCTCCTCATCCTAACCTATTCCTAATCCTCCCCTCACCCCTCACCCCCTCACCCCTCACCCCTCCCCCTCCCCTCACCCCCACCCCTCACCCCTCACCCCTCACCCCTCACCCCCTCACCCCTCACCCCTCACCCTCACCCCCCTCCACCTCACCCCTCACCCCCTCCTCCCCTCACCCTACTCTTAACAGGATGCTTTGCTAATTAATTGTCTTCCCGATAACAAAACTGTGGAAGGAATGTTGGAAAATTGCCAGTTATCTACCTAAGTGGATCCCCCTCCCCCTTGGTGCTGGCTGAGGAGGAATAATAGAGAGGATAGAGGTGGGGATGGAAGAAGGGGTGAGAGGAACGTGTGGAGGGGGGGTAGATGGAGTCCAGTAGAATGAGGGAGGGAAGAGAGTGACGGAGGGAGACAGGAAAGAAGGAAGGAGAGAGACCAGTAGAATGAGGGAGGGAAGGGGGATTTTTTTTTCGATTTTATTAACATTTTGGCAGAATTATTATATTTAGGATTTTCTTACCATAGACAAAATTAACGAAGAATTATTAAATCGTTATAGGAATTTTTTACAACATATATTAACATAAAAAAATCCATATATAGGAAAAATATATAAAAATAAATATTCTCTCATATATAGATTTTAATATAAATTTTAGAGGAGTAAAAAAAATTCCCTTCTTGTCAGTTGATCGAAATTTCTCATAATCCATCGCTACTTTGGGTGTTAAACGGCTTCAAATTTTCATATAAGAAATTTAAATAATTTTTCTTAAGGATTCTCGCTAACTGGTGATTATAAATTAAGGAGGAATGTGGCGTTAAAATTCCTTATGTAAAATTTTGATACATGGAGGTGTGTGTGTGTGTGTGTGTGTGTGTGTGTGTGTGTGTGTGTGTGTGATTACTTCTTTTTATTATTATTTTTATTATTATTATTATTATTATTATTATTATTATTATTATTATCATTATCATTATTATTATTATTATTATTATTATATTACGCCAGGTGAATGTTGAAAGACGATAACTACAGTAAACACACAAACTAAGCATCTTAATACTAAAATAAACATTCGTATATTTATCCCACCAAGGATTTAAATACCAAAGTAAACACATTCAACCTAAACATTTAAGCACCTGTATAAACACTCCTGAACTTAACCCACACATTTCAATGGCATCTTAAACATTTACAAACTCAAGTTAAACATTTAAGTTCCAATATAAACATACATTAATATAATTTATTATCACTAAGGTATTATCTCAATATGTAGGTAGATATGTGACGTAGATTAAGTAGACCAGGTAGATATGTGACGTAGATTAAGTAGACCAGGTAGATATGTGACGTAGATTAAGTAGACCAGGTTGATATGTGACGTAGATTAAGTAGACCAGGTAGATATGTGACGTAGATTAAGTAGACCAGGTAGATATGTGACGTAGGAACCTTTAGAGAATGTGATCCGTTGATGGTCAGTGTTACAGGTGATAGGAGGAGCAGCCACGGGCAGGTCTAGACACACTCCTCTGATGCTTTTGTGGACTTGTTTCAGGTGTGAGGCGCCCACGGGTTGGAGCTGCGCCAGAGGACGCCATCTCCTGCCTGTTTGCCTGCTTGCCTGCCTGCTTGCCTGCTTGACTGCCACCACTGACGGACGCGGCGACCTCCACAACGTCACGAGAGGCCAAGGATAAGACGTAAGAGGTGAAGAACAGGACGCAAGAGGCCAGGAACAGGACGCAGAACAGGACTAGAGATATTGTGATACAGTGCGGTCAAGGTCGTCACACACTACAAAACTCCAACAGTACTGCTGCTGCTGCTGCTGCTGCTCTACAAGTCTACATAATTAAAGGAAGATATATAACTCAAGATTCAACTCGTGTGATATATAACAAGAACTAGAGGACCCCCACACACACCCCCGGCGAGCATTACCTAACCGAACCATTCGTCTGGGGTCGTTAGGGCGGCCCGGTAAACGAGGAACCACAGAGACGGGATTGTTAATCATATCAATGAGCGTCTGAGTCGGCCTCTACAGGATCTCCACCTCCAGTGTTGCCAGAACCCAGGTGTCTAAGAGAGAGTTACGAGCCTCTGTAACCTTCACTGTCCTACACCAATAGTTAGCTGGTATCACTGTTTTTCACTCGCTCATATTACTTAAAAGGGATAATAAAGGCTCGTTAGGGGCAGCGCTGCACCTCCCATCTACTGAGCCGTGGATCCAATTGTGGTTGGAGGATCAAGGGTGGATCAGAAGGGCGTGAGCCAGCAGTACCTGACAGCGGGGGTCCCCAGGTGATGTAGCCGCGGCATCCACGCCCCGCTGTGTGCCCGAACCCCGCCTGCCCTCCACCCCGCCTTCACCATTAGCGCGGGAGCTACACTCTCAACAAACATATCCCGCGCCTTCTGCAGTGTGTGTGTGTTGAGAGCACCAGCAACGAGAAACATTTATTCAATGTTTTTAGTTAATATTTGTGTGAAACAACTGAAAACTTTGCAACATTTATCACCAATGTGAATCTTTTTTAAGTGTGAATATATGTCTCATTCTGTGCCAAGGATCTGGTCACACAAGTAAAGACTCACCATATACTCCCAGACTGATAATAACATAACGAGTCTTGCTGCCGTAAACTGATTGTTTTATACAGCCAAGACTGCGGGAGTTACCAACAGCCAGCAGGTGTGGAGTATCATGCACTAGATGCCCCACACACACCCATGAAGACGCCAGCCTTGTTGAGAACATCTCGCAAGAGGACCCCCAGCCAAGCTCGACTCCACCCGTAAAACAGACAGTTCGCGGCCCTTAACACGTAAAGTGACACCCCAGCCCGCCCTGCTCCATCACCAGTCACACTTCCTCCTCTCCAGACCCACTGAACGAGGGTTTAACCAATCTAAAATATCCCATTTATGTCCCTAATCGTCCCATATAACCCATGATCGTCATCTAAAGTGCAACAAAACGCGGAGTTGAGGTTTGAGGGATTCACCTGCGCGTCCCAGGGGCAGGCCGAGCCCACCACCCCTTTGTTGTGGCTTAGTGGGGAGGCAGCGTTATCTGAGGCGGGGACGCCCACCCTGTGCTGATAAGCCACTCAGTCTCCCCCACGTTGGCGTTTTATCGCTCAGAGAACACCCAGAGACGCTGCCCGGGAACGGTAGCAGATGTGATCAAGTGTGGTGAAAAAAGGTCGGAGATATATGAAAAAAATAATGAAATTGTGCTAAAGAATAAGACTCGTGGCCTCGAGACTCTGACGGTGGTAAATAAAATTGTGATTTGAAAATAAAACGTAAAATATATCGAGAAATTATCCTAACATTGATGTGATTAAAGACAGGGAGTGAAGAACATAGTTAATGAAAAGACATTTAACTCAAGTAGATGTTAACGAAGAAGAAGTAAATAGTGTTGTTGTTACTCTAACCTGAAACACTTGGCTGAGAAACATCTACAAGAGAGAGGAGATTACTTCAGGTCCGCCTCAGAGACATTCTAGTGATCACTTCTTTATGTAAATGATCCTCGACCTGAGACACAATAACAGGAGACATTGTAACGACGCCAGACAGTGACCCGAGGCGCTCCATCACAACACATACCTTATATTAAACTCTCTTACACCACCCGGAAACTATAGAGAATTGAGATAAAGATAAATAGTGGTAAATATTGTGACCACGAGAGAGGATTTGGGAGTCTAAGATTACCAGAGACTCCCTCCAGTGTACACGAGTGACTGACACCAACCACTCCCTCACCTTCTCCCTCACCTTTCCTCACCCTTTTCTCTCACCATCCCTCACCTGTCACCTCTCATCTTCCCTCACCTGTACCAACACCTAAATATTGATCGTGTTATTGCATAGATAATTCCAACGAAAATACTAAGAATTTTTTTTTTGTATTTTCTGGGTTTATAAATTAAATTCCTTGATCTATAAATTTTAGGCTAATTAGTAAAGTATTTTGTGTATTTTACTATTAATATTTTTTTCTGTTAACATTAAATAAAATAATCTTCCCTGGTTTAAGTTTCCTGTATTATATTTCTTCTGATATATAATTTTTTATATTCAAATATCTTGTATATATATTTGTACTACAACTTCCTTAAGATCTATATAAGAATAGTATTTTTGTTGTTGTACTGTATATGTCTTAGGTATTATATTTTTACTTATATATATTTTGTAAGTTTTTGGCAATATTTTGTATGTTTTATGTGTAGTGAAATATTGAGTGTTAATATTGGGACGACCATTGGTGTGTGTAGACGAGGCAAGAGTGTTGTGTGGTGGTCGAGGTTCGCTGTAGGGGGGAGGTGTGAGGGGTTGGGTGCGCCAGTAGCCTACACAAACACCCGTCAGCAAACATCTCCACCTTGTCAAGAACCCGCGCGGTCTGACTCTCTCTCTCTCTCTCTCATGGCGACCTCACTTTAGGCCTTTCTGCTACCTTACACTCTTTGTTTAGTGTCTTGGCGAGTGTCAGTGAACCCCGGGCAGTGTACTGTGAGGTGGTGATGTGTCGAGAGTTAGGGACACCTGCGACACCCAACACTCGTCCGCTGGAGCAATAAGTGTGTGTATAGTTTTATCATTCCTTAATAATACTCATTAAGATGAATATGGATGACATAAACGGGGCCAAGTACGCTCTACGGACTAAGTCGATCATTAAGAGAATAGAATCAGAGAAAAACAGAGCGACGTCTAAAAGGAGAGAACCTAAGGAGAAGCAGAAGCCGCCGCCGCTGAGTAAGTACCGCCGCAAGACAGCCAACGCCCGCGAGAGGAACAGAATGAAGGAGATAAATGATGCCTTCGTCACGCTGCAGAAGGCCATCCCGGATCTGCCTGGTGCTGACGCCGAAAAGTTGACTAAGATCACCGTCCTGAGACTCGCCGTCAACTACATTAATGCTCTGGCTGGAGTCCTCAACGAAGACGATTTTGGTCCAACAGACATCGAGGACGTGAGAGAAATTTGGTGTTTAGAAAACGCTCATATGGCTCGACCAGAGCACTGTGTGAGGCCGGTGATAAGAACTAGTAAAATGGCCCTCAGTAACACGGGCAAGAGTAGCGCCAACAACAACATTAACAACAACAACAACAAAAATCATAACAAAATAAATAAGCCCAAATGTTCTTCTGTTACGAAAATGCACGAAAATAAAAATAAAAATTCATTAGGCGGGAAAGTGTCTACTAAGCGACCAAGTAAATCTAAAATTAAAACCAAAATATGTAAGACGGCGAGCATAGCGACCAACAATGGCGCCTACATCACCCTGAAGAACGTGGCCCTCCAGACCCCGCCACACAGACTAGGAAGATACGCTAACAATGAGCCACTCATGATGTCCATGACGGTCAAGAGGCCAAGAATGGAAACTTTTACGGGACCTCGAGAGGCTAAAATACCTCGTTTGGAACCTCTGATGCCTCTAGTGGCAGTCAACCAGCCCCTACTGGCCCTCACGCCCTACGGGACGGACCTGCTGCACGTACCGGCGTCCATCCCGGGGCATAACACTCCTGAACCTCGCATAGGGGCGACGCCGTTCACGCCGCGTCGAGTCTGTAACCCTAACATGCCATCGTTCATCAGTCAAACGGACAGCTTCTCCGTCAATGTCCTTCAAGACTTGGACAGTCCGGTTGTGAGGAACGACGTGTTGCTTGAGTTCCCGAGGAGTGGACGTCACTTGAGTGACTCCTCGAGCGCCGACTCAGCCTTCTCCAGCGAGGGGTCGTCCCCCCCAAGTCCCATCACGGGCGCCACCTTCTCAACAGCTGTCCCGGTACCCATAGGAGACAGTTCTCCCTCCTTCTCCGTCACGTCCAGCGACTTCTCCGGGTGTGGCTCTGCGTCTGACTGTGAGAGCGTCTTGACGGCGCCCGTGGAGCTGGGCAGTCTACTCGGAGACGAACCCTTCGAGGAGGAGCTGGACCACCTGACCTCCACCTTTGCCGAGGGTGACGACACGCTCAATCTCTTCCTCGCTCACTCCTCCTCGAACTTTATCTACGCGGATATTGACGACTGTTAGGAGGAGTCTGGTCCATGTTCTCTCGTACAAACATTGGTTGTTAAGTCAGTATAAACTGATGTTGAGCCGGAATAAACTGTCGTTAAGACAGTATAAAGTGTTAAGTTTTGTTAAGTCAGTATAAAGTGTTCCCGGTGATGTAACGTGATGTGTTCGTCGTCAGGATGTTCTTGACGGCGTGATGTAACAGAGATGTGTTCCCACCATAACATAACCTTACAGCGTTGGAGTCTTGTTGGTGATGTTGACCAGTTGTCTTAATAATGATTACTATGTAATACTGAATGTTGTGACAGTCTGTACAATACAATAATCACTGTGTTGGTCACTACAAGATTATGTAATGTTTATACGTAACTTAAGTATAGAAGTATACATATCAACCTCCTGTGTTCACATTTTGTATATAAGATGTTTTCCACTTTTGCTTTTTATGTAAATAAAACGATTTTCATTATTTATGAATTTTAATTTAAAAGAAGAATCCTGCCACAGTAACCCGACACTTGAGTGAGTGAAGGATGACCAGAGGAGGAGACTGGAGGGTGACGCGCGCCGCTACACACAATGTTGTACTTTATGTCACTATTAAAACCACCATTAACGACACCTATTGAGGCCCGACGCCATAAACCTCCCACACCGTCCACCTCTGTGTCCTCCTGAGCCTTTATGTTGTGAGGACCCGAGTGTTGTGCCGGGGAGACTGACAGCTGAAGAAGAGCACCCAGGTCTCCCCGTGGGGTGAGGAGACGGCCCCATACAGTAGGTGGGGGTGATGATGGTACACCGGCAGGACCACATCAGCTGTGTTGTGTTGGCATGGGCGGTGGACAACCTCGAGGGTTGGCCTAGGGGGCTCTCTCTCACACACACACACACATGTACATATAGATAAACCTACTTGTGTGTGTGTGTGACAAAGGCAGACAAACAGAGAGTGATGCAGACAGACAGACAGATTTCTCATTCAGTATGTTTCTATTTCACTTTCTTAATATAAAAAACAAAAACAAAAGCCATTTACTGGTGTTAGTAGCCCATAAAATACACGGCTTAATAACTCCACACTCTATACCTGTGCCTGACGTCACCACCACCGAAATCCTACCTTTTACCTGAAATAATTAACAGTTTTACCTTTGTGGGTGCTAAAACGAGGGACTGGGTCACCGTCATGAAAAACTACCTCCACCCAAGTGTTTGTCGCGGGTAAAAACTCTCCTGGCGGCCTGATCTGTAAAATGACCCGTAGACCCATCCATTCCACCTGTGACGCCATCTTGGAAAGGGAGATGCCTAAGATAACTTTGTCGGACATTATTGATAAGATGTGTTGGTTTATCAGTGATTTTAAGATTATGGTTTGTAAAATATATAGAAGAATTATTTAATATTTGGGTTTTTTGTGGTGGTTTTATGATCTTTGTTTGTGAAAAATTTAGGTTAAATAATATTAAAGACTGGTACGTTTGTGAAGACTTAATTCTATGGTAAAAAATTTTCGGCTTATTTTTTTAAATCTACAGAAAGTTCTTTGAAACATGTACTTTATTAAGACGATTAAAAATTAGAAAAATAAACTTTTTTTGTCAAGATTTCTAAAGTTATGTTGCAATAAGTTCTCGGAGTTGAACTTTCACAAGACGAACTTCATCAAGTCTTCAGATGGTTAATGTTTTAGTGACATTTCCGCTCTAGATCAAAGGAGCGTGTGTGTGTGTGTGTGTGTGTGTGTGTGTGTGTGTGTGTGTTCTACTTCTGTACGCACACGATCATCAACACAGGTGGACACACACACACACACACACACACACCTGAAGCAATATCCACCTTAATTAATTTACCTAAATAATATAAAACACAGGTGCCACGACCCCCCAAGACACCCATTGGCTTACACCTGTCTAATAATCGTCACTCTCAGGGTAGTTTATATCCTTCTAAGAGATGAGATAATCGACCTTATGGCTGGAGGGAGGTTATCGTGGCCAGGTGTGAGAAAAGGGTAAGGTTATCGTGGCCAGGTGTGAGAAAAGGGTAAGGTTATCGTGGCCAGGTGTGAGAAAAGGGTAAGGTTATCGTGGCCAGGTGAGAGAAAAGGGTAAGGTTATCATGGCCAGGTGTAAGAAAAGGGTAAGGTTATCGTGGCCAGGTGTGAGAAAAGGGTAAGGTTATCGTGGCCAGGTGTGAGAAAGGGGTAAGGTTATCGTGGCCAGGTGTGAGAAAAGGGTAAGGTTATCGTGGCCAGGTGAGAGAAAAGGGTAAGGTTATCGTGGCCAGGTAGAAAGGGTGGCAACACTTCTCTCTACTGTCGTCTTGGAGGTCGGCAGCAAAACAGACAGAGAAGAATGTGGTCACCAGGTAATAGCTTTCTAACCGGGGCGCAGAGAGGCAGTAACCGGGGCGCAGAGAGGCAGTAACCGGGGCGCAGAGAGGCAGTAACCGGGGCGCAGAGGCAGTTACCAGGGGCACTGAGGAGGCAGTAACCGGGGCGCAGAGGCGTAACCGAGGCAGTAGTTTGTGATTAACATGCTAGATCAATGTATAATCCCCCCTTCCCTATCCCTCCCTTCACCTCACACTTTGCCCTCCTTTACACTCTCCCCTTCCCTCTCCCCTTCCCCCTCTCTTACCCCTCCCCTGATCTCTCTAACCACTTCATCTGATCATCCCCAGCAAGCTCAGATCGTCCGTGTACGTCTCCATCCGTGTACGTCTCCATCAGCCGTACGTCTCCATCCGTGTACGTCCAGGAGGTATGATTACAGTAAACAGCAGGTAACTGAAGGATTGTGGCCAAACTTGGTGCTGGGATCCTACAGCTCGCCCTCTACAACACGTTCAATAATCAATAATATCTGTTAGAATTTGGCGCGACGTGGGGGTGTGGCTGCGCGACGTGGGGGTGTGGCGCGACGTGGGGGTGTGGGCGACGTGGGGGTGTGGCGCGACGATGGGGGTGTGGGCGACGTGGGGGTGTGGCGCGACGATGGGGGTGGGCGACGTGGGTGTGGAGCGACTTGGGGTGTGGCGCGACGTGGGGGGGTGTGGCGCGACTTGAGGTGTGGCGCGACGTGGGGGGTGTGGCGCGACTTTGATATGGAGGGTGTGGTGCGACTTGGGGAATTGTGGCGCGACGTGGGGTGTAGTGCGACGATGGGGTGTGGAGCGACGTGGGGGTATGTGTGATGTGACGTGGGGTGTCGACAGGGGGTGTGGCGCGACATAGGGGGTGACTTGGGGTGTGTGGCAAAAAGGGGAGGGTGTGTGCCAGAGTGTGAGGTGGGGGTGTGGCGTGACGTGGGGGGTGTGGCGTAGAAGGGAGGATGTAACGCAGAGAGAAGGGTGTGGTCCGGTGTAGGAGAGTGTGTTGTGACAGATCTATATTACTGTTATTTTACACACGTAAACAACACACTCAGAGAGCATAGTGCCACAGTCCACTCAGAGAGCATAGTGCCACAGTCCACTCAGAGGCATAGTGTATAGACCCATAAAGAGCATAGTGCACAAGTCCACTCCAGAGAGCATAGTGCCACAGGCTACTCAGAAAGGAAAAACGGTGCCTGAATCTCAGAGAGCTTAGTGCCACAGTCCACTCAGAGAGCTTAGTGCCACAGTCCACTCAGAGAGCTTAGTGCCACAGGCCACTCAGAGAGCATAGTGCCACAGGCCACTCAGAGAGCTTAGTGCCACAGTCCACTCAGAGAGCTTAGTGCCACAGGCCACTCAGAGAACACACTGGCACAGGGTACAGACAGAGGTTTACAACATGTGGCAACACTGGCCGGGGATTTATGAGTTCTTGGTAAAAACTGGAGACTTTGTGAGGCAGTGAAGACCAAATTGGCTGCCGGGATTTATGATCCGAGCTGAGAGGCATTACTGGTGTCTCTTAACATTATAGTGTGAGGCTTTACTGCGGCGGTGTGAAGGGCAGGATTATCCCCAGCTTATATCACCTTAACATTAACCACCCTAATACTTACCTGACCTAACCTAACCTAACCTAACACATGCCTGCTGACCTAACCTAATATTATCTCTCTCTCTCTCTCTCTCTCTCTCTCTCTCTCTCTCTCTCTCTCTCTCTCTCTCTCTCTCTCTCTCTCAATAACTACCTCCTAGATAGACAGAAGGTCGACAGAGAGACAGGTGGGTTATACAGACATCAAGATGGCGGGGATGATACAGGTGTGGTGGACAGGTAAATTAATATGGGACAGATGGCGAAGGTGTGTGTGTGTGTGTGTGTGTGTGTGTGTGTGTGTGTGTGTGTGTGTGTGTGTAAGCTAATATTTACATTCTTAACCACTACACACAAACCTTTTATCACAATGTAATACCAAATAATCAACAAATTAATCTCTTTCATATTTTTATTCCTGTTTATTGATTTTATTAATTTATTATTCATTAACATTGATTGAAACATATGTATAATGTTTTGAGTCAACACACTTGTTCACTACAGACCTGAAGGGAAACTTGAGTTGGTTCATTAAGGCGACCCGAGGTGACGTGGCCAACTGGTACAAGAATGTTGCTCGGTCATTCACTTGGTTCTTAGTTATTGTGGGACTACCAAGTTACCTCTTATTCACTCACTCATTCACTCACTCACTCACTCACTTGTGTATTCACTCACTTGTTAACTCACCCACCCACTCACTCACTCAGACTTTTGTATTCACTCACTCACTCATTCACACACTCACTCCTCTGAATGCACTGTGAATGGAGTTCAATTTTCAATTTCAATAGCTTATTCCTTGATAGAGGAGGCGGGATCCAAGTGCTGTCACGAGGTACAATAACACCAGAAGCATCTAGCAAGTGTCTCAAGTATATACGGTATCAATATTATAAAGGGGCTTACTAAAGCCTAAGGAAAGAAGGATATTCCTTTGGCGTTTCATTCACAGATTAAACTCTAAAACGAGAATGAAATTGATGCATTCACTAAGGACTTAACTTTTCATTCACAGACTTAACTCTCGTTGTGAATGAATTTGTTGCGTTCACTGAGTGTTGATCGTCCCAGCAGGCAGAAGGCGGGAGAACGTTCACCTGACGTAAATAACCATATCATAGAGAACTGGAGGAGAATGCCTGGCGTTGTTGTTCGCTCATGCTGGCGTTGGGTTTTATGGCCCAGAACTAAGTGCAACAGCCAGCCAGTATGCACAGCCGAGGCTACCATGCTTCGCCAATACGAGCAATAATCTTCGCCTGACGTTCCCTTCTTACTTAACAGTGACTAATAATAAAGGTGTTATGCCTGGCGGAATTTCGTCCGGTTAATGCCTACAGTGGCGTTGTTTTATGGTTGCAGAAAGGTAAGATGTAACACGTATTGTCCATCACCAGGAGTCTCCCACGCCGCCCCGACCACCGATAAAGTTAGAGCAAGAATTGTGTCTCTTTTTGGGTGGAGACTCCCCCCCATAAACCGCCATAAGAAGCATAATAACAACTCGGGGTCTCTGGTGGTGAGGAAGGATCCAAAACATAACCTCTGCATAATTCATGACAAGTTTTCTTTTATTAGCAATGCAAATGTTGACAACCAGTAGATCGAGCCAGGCCACGATAATAAAGTGACCGCCGTACGATAATTGATGCACCATAATATCAGATATGCGTCCACGTCTGTTTGTTTTACCTGGCCCTCGTCCACTCTCTGCATGTGGGGTCATTTGAATAATATCTGATTACAGGTAGTAACAATAAAAGCTTTTCTTGATATCAGAACCTATTGTCAAGATACCAAAAATGGCGGCGAATTTACAGGTGTTGAGATGTGTTGTGTTATGGTGTGTTGAGGTGAGAGGCGGCGGTAGTGTGGTGGAGCTGCCAGACGTACAGTAATGGTTCACTGTGTCCAACATGCCTGCATCTCGCCTCACACTGGACACAAGTTTCATTTATGACCTTTTTTGGACACGGTTAATTTTTTTAGGCCAGGCGGTATCCATCTGTGTTGGTTAGTTTCTCTTACCATTTTGTCTGTCTGTATGTCTGTGTGTCTTTGTATGTCTGTGTATGTCTGTGTATGTCTGTCTGTGTTTGTGTGTGTCTGTGTCCTTATTAAACAAGATTAATGAGATAGAATGACCAGATTTTTGAGAAGTTCTCTGTGAAAATCTGAAAATCTGGGCAGTCTTTCTCTATAACTTTGTATAATAGATGGATATATATTTTAGCTGAGAGATAACGAGTGCATTATCCGTCTCGAGACACACACACACACACACACACACACACACACACACACACCAGCACACGGGGCACTAAAAGCTTATACCATTATTAAGGGAAGCCCCACTTAGGATTACTTAAGATTACTGAGGATTACTATCACCTCGAGTCACATTTATTATGGTTCAAAAAATGTTGCACCTAAAATATTAAATCCTTCCTGACTTGACTCTCGAAGGGATTTTGAGGTTAATATTGTAATCCCTGATGAGACCAAGTATCAGAGGAAGGAATTAAATCCCCTAACTCCCTCCTTCCTCATGGGGATTTAGGGGAATAATTATTTCACGAGGGATTTTTTTATTTGTTTTTAAGTGTCCAAGTCGAGGGTGGATATGGATTAGGTAATCAATTATCGATACACAGGTGAGTCCAGGTGTGTTCTACCTGCCCAGACACCATAATAACGTATTTAGGGGATGACTTATCTTAACTCGTATGCAAATGAGAGCCAGTTGGACCTTGTTGAGTGATAATTCTTCTTTTGGTATATCGGTCGTGTGCATTCCTCTCTCCCACACTCTCTCTCTCTCTCTCTCTCTCTCTCTCTCTCTCTCTCTCTCTCTCTTGAAAATGTCTGCAATTCTTCCTGTATCCCTTCACATCTTTGTACTGTTGTCTTTGAAATAGTGAGGAGGCGTGTGGGCGTGTTGTTGGAGCGTCTGGTGGGCGTGGAGGCGTGGGAGGGCGTGTGAGTAGGAGCGTGGAGGCGTGGGGAGGGCGTGTGGTAGGGCGTGGAGGCGTGGGGAGGCGTGTGGTAGGGCGTGGAAAAGGCAGTGATGGGCGTCTGGTGGAGCGTGAGTCGTGGGGAGGGCGTGTGGTAGGGCGTGGAGTCGTGGGGAGGGCGTGAGGTAGGGCGTGGGGGGCATGGAGGTATGTGGGACGAGAGGACAGAAAATCTATGCTAAAACACACATTTTATTCCTTGCCAACCACCACCACTACCACCACCACTACCACCACCACTACCGCCAACCACCACTACAACCACCACCACCACCACCCCTACCATAACCACCACTACAACCCACCACCACTACCCACCACCACCACTACAACCACCCACCACTACCACCACCACTACGACCAACCACCAAAACAGCCATCCCTACCACCAACCACCCAACACCACCACTACCACCAACCACCACCACTACCAACCACCACCCCACTACCAACCCACCACTACCACTACCACCAACCACCACCACTACGACCAACCACCAGAACCAGCCATCCACTACCACCAACCACCACCAACCACCACCACTACCACCAACCACCACCACTACCAGAGAGGCGCCATACTCACGTCATTTATACACAAGCTAAAATCCTACATAGAAGACTCTGAAGAATTATGTAGCTGAAGACTCTGTTCTGTAGTCTAACTAATGGAGGTATTGTCATCCCGTGTACTTAGAGGTTTGTTAAAGAATAATTGGTGCGTATAATTCACAGTGATGGGTTGGTTTATGTGTGTCTACCTTATTTAATGTCTGTGTTTGTGTGTTTGTGTTTGTGTGTTTGTGTGTTTGTGTTTGTGTGTTTGTGTGTTTGTGTTTGTGTTTGTGTTTGTGTGTTTGTGTGTTTGTGTTTGTGTGTTTGTGTTTGTGTGTTTGTGTTTGTGTTTGTGTGTTTGTGTGTGTGTGTGTGTGTGTTTATGTTTATGTGTTTGTGTGTTTGTGTTTTGTGTATTTGTGTTTTGTATGTTTGTGTTTGTGTTTGTGTGTTTGTGTTTTGTGTTTGTGTGTGTTTATTTGTGTGTTTTTGTGTTTGTGTTTTGTGTGTTTGTGTTTGTGTTTGTGTGTTTGTGTTTGTGTGTTTGTGTTTGTGTTTGTGTGTTTGTGTTTGTGTGTTTGTGTTTGTGTGTTTGTGTTTGTGTGTTTGTGTTTGTGTGTTTGTGTTTGTGTGTTTGTGTTTGTTTGTGTTTGTGTTTGTTTTTGTTTGTGTTTGTTTTTGTTTG